AGTTTCACTACAGCCTTCAAATCTAACATTCCAACATATGTAATGTGGTGTTGCTTTTGCTATAGTATTTTTAATGACGAGCTGAGTGCTTATTCTAGAGGAAAAGTCCTTAAAATGTTTTAAGTTTTCCCTCCTAGTCCAACCAACCACAATACAGCTCGGCAAAGAACTCATGCTCTTCCTCAACACTGAAGTCCTCAGACATTTTTCTTTCGTTGTTTCTTTCTTTGCACAGGTAAACAGCAAATTTCTTCTTCTACGCTTGCATTATCAAGAGCAGACGCTGAATGCGCACTTTCGTCTGGTTTGGTCTGCCGCAGTTTCCGTAGGCTCGTGAACTCGCAGGCATTCTATTCCTTTAATCCTATTTCTGAATTGCAGGTAGCCTTCCTGTTTGATCTCTGGAGCTTCTCCTCAGTTGTTAAGCTGAGATGCTGAAGTCACTGCCCCTAGGGGAAGCAAACTTAAAGCAGGGTCTAAAGTAGATGCTAGGATCTGAATGATGGATATGCTTTCTGCTGACACTAAGCTGTGTTTTTATTTTATTTTAATTGATATAAAAAAGGAAATAGTTAATCCATCCTTTAGTGACCAAAAATACTGTTCCATAGTGTAAGAACAATAATTTAATACATTGATGTAACAATTCATGATAACTTGAGCTCCTCTAAACACTATCACACAGCACAAAGCAAGCATGTACCTTGGATAATATTTTTTTCAAACAGTCCACCCTGCATCCAGCAGTCCGATCTCTCATTCCAGGCTTCTATTGATCTATTTGAAAAATTTTTCCTCATACAGTTATATTGATTTCCATGTATATTGAACTAAAAATATGAAGCCTAAAGCCTGAAGGATAAAAACTGTAGTCTTTTGATACTTGAGGTCATATTTCTGAGATGTCCTGATCAGAGAATGGGCCTCAGTCTAATTTCTGATCCAGGAATGATGTTGGATTCTTAAATCAGGATGGAACCTTCCTCTTAGAAAAAAATAAACATGGATAACATTATTAATTGTTATAGCTTTAAGTATTATCATTTTACTTTCATTTTAGCAGACAAATATAACTGTACACAGCTGAAATATTTTTTTTTGTAATGCTATTTTGACATGTTGAACTGAGCTTTTCTTTAGTTTTCTTAAATTTTTCTTTAACTGGCCTAGTGGTTAGAGCAGTGCGCTTGTGCTCTGAGAAGGTTGCAAGTAGTTTGATGCCCATAGCCTCAACTCTGGGTTCCTGAGGAAGACCCTTAACCCCACACTGCTCCCCGGGCGCCACACAATGGCAGCCCACTGCTCCCCAACTTTCTGCATTTCTGGGTCAAATGCAGAGAGTGAATTTCCCCATTGTGGGACAATAAAGCAATTTACATTATATATTTATAATTATATAATTTACATTATATATATTTAGAAATGAGTTAGATAACATATTTCTGAAAAAACATTTTTTTTTTCATTTAAGCTTTTCACATTGTGACCATCTTATATTGATTCATGACATTGAGAGGCACAGGAGGTGGACAGATAGTGAGCCTCCAAGTTGGGATGTGCTGGATGAGCTCCTTCAGTGATACTAAACCATCCTCAGATGTTACTCTAACAGTTATGAGGTCATAGTTTGTGTAGAGCTCTGTATGATTTGAGTGCGCTTTTGGGAGAATTTTGTTAAGTTTTTTTTTTTATGAGAAAGAAGTGATGTGAAGTGTCTGAGGTTAACATCTTCAAACACTTTGTGTTTGATTTATAAGATTCAGACCTGAGATTTATCCAACACTGTACCCTTTAGGCTTCACAGCCTTCTAATATATTCTTTAGTTTGACAATTACATCTTTCCATTAGCTGTTCTTCATCCTTTATCAGTTTGGTGTTTTCACTGAAGTGAAAATTTGACGTGTTGAAAGGCGACGCGGCGGAGTTTTAGTGAAGCGTTGTTCTGATCCATCATGTTTGACAGATGCAGGGCCTCGGGCCGTCATTCATCTCTCCGCCTTTTGACACAGGATGAGAGATGAGAAGAACGGCTCCTCAGCACCAAATGCCAAGCTGATCGTTTCTTTGACTTTTTTTTTTTTATTATTGTAAATCTCTCATTTTCTCTACTATTTTTCAGTATTTCTAATTAGGTTCATTCTTTAAAATCTGTTCCTTGTTCATTTTACGTTGCCAAAACTTTGCTAAACAAGTGCAGAGACACATATGTAATTAGCAGAGCGTTTTTGTTTTCCTCTCACAGAACGGGGCGGAGGTTTTTCTTACATCTCGTTAATTAAACGAAGTGTAGATGTTGGTAAATATTACAGGACAAAGGTGGAGCTGGTAATTAAATTCTGGCGTGCTGACACAGCGATTAGCTAAAATCCATGTCTGATAAAGGCCACACACAGA